CGAAAAATAAAAATCAAAGCAGATTTGTACCTGCCCCATTGAACCCTGGTGTTCCACGAGCAATAGCATTTGCATTGACATCGGTACCAACTGGTTTGTCCTGCAAATAGAGCTCCAGTATTTCTTGACGACCACGCACATCTGGATTAGGAACAACAATCTAGAAAAAGCATTTGAATTAATGATAAATTCTTATAAAGAGAATATCATGCAGCCAAAATATAGTATCAACATTAACATGTATATATAATTATTATTGCGTGTGCATTTGACATAAGTAGAGGCAAGTTCTCCATGGCAGAGTGAGGCAAATGCCATACTAAGTGTAAAGATAAAACTAGTATAAGACTGATCATTAACAAAATAAGCTGCTAAACAAAACAAAAGTAAAAACACTTACATGTCTATCAAACCTACCCGGCCTTGTTAAAGCTGGGTCAAGTATATCTGGCAAGTTCGTTGCAGCCATCAAAATAATACCCTGTACAAAAATGATAGAAAGCACTTTGAATTACAGATTCAGATGGGGAAGCAGTTCGCATCACATATTTATGTACCTCATTCTGCTCAAAACCATCCATTTCAACTAGTAGTTGATGCAGTGTTTTCTTTGTATGACCCTCCCATTGCTTTCGAGTTGACCCAATAGCATCAATTTCATCAATGAATATGATGCAAGGAGCCTGAAAAGGCAGTCGCGAATATGAGAAGTGAGAAAGAAATGGCATTTTAGAAGCATATCACAATTACTTTCAAATAATTCAGCACAAAAACAGACTCATTATACAGATACATATTTTAAAGACACAAGAAATAGATGGAGCAGTCAAACTGAGCAAACCTTCTTCTTAGCTGCTTGAAACAAGGATCTTACACGCCGAGCACCAACTCCTACAAACCTGGAGTACAGAAAAGTGCAGTTATTGTATAACAAGTCAGTGAGTGAACTCATCGCTTTGGGAATCAGGCTTATAAAACAATATTGCATCTTTTCCTCAAATTCCTGAGGGAGAGAAATTAACATACATTTCTTCAAATTCGGAGCCTGCTTTATAAAAGAATGGTACCCCCGCTTCTCCAGCAATAGCCTTCAAAGCAAGATGCATCAAGCACAATCAGCAGCGGAATGCAATATTACATCCAAATCATAACAGATAGTTTACTGTCACAAACTTTCAACTATGACACCCATGAAAGTCAGAAAATAAATCATACGGAGAAAATAATTATGTAAATTAAAAATAAACAGTCCAATAACTAGTGCATCATAGCCTGCCACGATGTATGATGTGACCATAAAGGTAATCAAGTAAGTCAAAAATCAATCATAGTAACGTAAAAATCTTACCTTCGCAAGTAAAGTCTTTCCTGTTCCTGGTGCTCCAGTCAACAGAATGCCCTGAAAAGAAAAATTTATACACAATTGAGTGACTTGTTTATTTAGCTGTTCTCTTCATACAGTGCAAGTGTCTGGATTGCTAAAATAAAATATGCAAAATAATAATAATAATAATAATAATAATAATAATAATAATAATAATTAATAATAATAATAATAATAACAATAATAATAATAATTGAACATGAAAAGTATAACCTTGGGCAACTTTCCCCCAAGCCTGGTGAATTTAGTGGGATTTTTAAGGTATTCGACAACCTCCTCAAGCTCTTGTTTAGCATCGTCACAACCTTTGACATCTTTGAATGTTTTGACATTCTGCATAAAGCACAAATGGATATGGTACTTAGGATCAAATATAGCCAGTAAAATCTCTTAGCAGCTTAGCCAGGAGAACATACCTTTTCAGGCATTATTTCTTTATTCAACTCTTTTGGGGAGTAAGATGAGCTTGAACCAACCCCTGGAGCACCAATACCACCTAAGCTACCAGCATATTTATGAGCAGTAGTACTCATAAACCTATAAAGATAGAAGTTCTCGTTAGCAATGACTAAGGGGTTACAAATGTAATGCAAAAAGCAAAGGAGAATGGACATCACAATAATTTCATGGGTGATCCTTATCATCTATGCCAATTATAAGCAGTTAGAGTGAAGAAAATGATTACCATATAAAACCAACACAAGCTATGAATACCATAGTGTTGATAACCTCTTGAACAAAACCTGGTGTATTTGATGCATCACGATCAACCTGATCAGAAAACACATTTTCTGAGCTATACAATCATAAGAATGCACTGAAATTTCTTCAACTGCATAGGTAATTAGAAAAAAGAAAGACTAATGACATTAAAAAAAAAAAAAAAATCTAAAACCAGAATAAATTAGTTGCTTTATGTTTTGATATTGATTAGTGTGTGTGGACTTAAAAGGAAAATCTTTGACATTTAGGCCACATCTCATTATCTCACTATATCTTACCATGACAACATGTAATGGCTGCTTCTTAGATACACCAGGGTTCATGAAGGGCTCATCCAGGTTCCCTGAAGCACGCTGTTTCAACTCTTGTAACTGCATGTTAATTATCATTGAATAAGATGAGAACATAAATCGCAGTTCTGGAGTCTGACTCTGAAATTTGCTTTGAAAACTGGAGATGTGTTTTGGAGAATTGATTATAGCATAATTGACATAATATAGAATCCAAAAAACTGGCTCCAAGTGAAACATTTTTGAAAATTCTATAACAATGCTAATTGCACTACTAAAGCATCCACATAAAAAGCAACAGTTGAACAAGTACCCACCAACAAAGGTAGAGTTGAAGGCTTTCCAGAATCCTCATCAGGTACATACTCAGCAATAGCATTAGTGACCACAAGGGCTCGGAGATATTCTGCAACTCCTCTACTGTCTACTGCATGAGTCCTTTCCTCAAAGCGCTTGATGACTAACTCAGGGCTAGACGAAGTAAGCAAAATTTTAAAATACTTTTCTTTAGCAAAATTAAACATGGTCTTTCAGGCTTAACTTGGTATAATGGAAATGGATAGCTTGAAACAATTAATTCTTTAACCAGTTCTATGATTTATATTAAGAATCACGCAAGGAATAATAATTAATGGCACAATGGCATAGCCCTCTCCAAAACCTTTGTAGCATATTTGGAACTTAAACCTATTGTTTTCTCTTGATTTTGCTGGAATAGCAAATTATTAATCATCTCTGCCATATGCAGCTCCTGAATGCAAATTTCGCCTTCTATTCCTTTCTTGGTTATTCATCCGGATTGGATTACTAAAGTTAATGCAATAAGGCAGGAGTGAAGAAGAGGCTGAAGTGTCTAACCTGTGCTTATTGAGCTCAACCAACAAAGCACTCTCCTTAGCCGCATCATTGGGGTTAGCATCAGCTTCTGCAGTCAACAGCTCCAGCCGCTTCTCCTGTTTCCAGAATAACAGCCATTTAAACAAATCGGACTTGAGAAGCCTCTGGAACCCTTTCTTAAACCTCGCAAACAATCCCATTAAGAACGCCACGATCGGCAGCCTACTCTTCACGTCCACATTTCCCACCAAACCCTCAGATTTGACCTCTCCTTCCACTTCCCCAGCTCCGCTACTCCCCACCGCCTCGTCCGACTCAAATTTGTTCGTAGTTTGGCCGGAACTCTCATCTTCAAGTACTAATCCAGTATTTTCCGGCCTCTCAGAACTAGTATCAGAAATCAAATCACTGGTATTGGATAAGGAAGAGTCGGGAGACGAATTCACATTGTCAGGACGGAATGCGCAGCTGAAAGTCAATCTAAGGTGGCGGGAAACCCGAGGCCTCACAGAAAGTCCGAGGCGGCGCTTGGAAGAGGAAGAAGAAGAGGAGGAGAAAGAAGACGATAGAGATAAAGGCTTGAATATAAGGGAAGCTTGCAGGGCAGTCGCAGTCATTGGATTTCAATGGCGGATTTGGGATTGGATTAGATTGGAATCGACGGGAAAAAAAAAAAAAAAGAATAAAAGAGAAAGGAGAGACAGATTCTCTCTCTCTCTATGTGTTGCCCTTGCCGAGCGAACAAGTCAGAACACAGTAATCAGATTCCTTGCTCGCTCCCTTCCCCCTTCTCAGTTTGCACTTTGCACTTCTGCAGAGCAGAGAGAGAGGGGAAGCGTGTGAGAGTGTTGGCCACAAAATTTTGGGATTTTTGGTGTGTTTGATCATTTTGACGGAACGGGGTTACGGGGGAGAAACAAAATATGGAACCTTATCTTCTTAACTTCTTTAGCCTTTAGGAAGTAACAATTAGTTTTTGAATCCCACAAAATCAAGTTTTAATACTAAATACGATGGGGCGTAGAGATGTCAATTGTACTCACACTTGATGGAGAATTTGAATTTTCACCCTAACAGAAACAGGATGAAGATAGAAATAAGGGATCGGGGATCGAGTACTCTCCCCGTCCCGTCCCCGATATATATATATATATATATATATGTGTGTGTGTGTGTGTGGCCACAAACACACACATATGTATTACTTTGTATATAATACATATAATTTTAAAAGCATTCTTGTCATTGTATGTCATGCTTATGAAATATATATTTAAATAACATGTTTAATTGTAAAATATTTTATACTACTTTAAGTTAGGAATGAATATATATGCATTATTTATTTAAATATTTTTTAATATTTAATTTTTAATTTTTTAATAAATTATTAACAGAATTTTTTTATAAATTATTAACCGGATGGGAATTCCATGTCCCCGAATAATCCCCGTGAGAATAGAGATGGGGGAATTTTTCCCTTCTCAGGCGGAGATGGAAACGGAAACTGAGAATGGAAAGAAAGTCAGATGCGGGATGGGGGTATGTCTCCCGCCGCCACCCCGCCCCGTTGACATCCCTAGCGGGGCGATATGAGAAGGGGTATCAAATTAGAATGGCTAATAGTAATATTGCATACTATTTGGGAAATTTGCAAAATAGTATTATTAACTGTTTTGTTTAGTCTTAAAGAAAGACCTTTAGACCATATTCTTTAATCAGACAGGCTTCCAACGTGAACAAACAATCGAACAATACTACTAACTATACAATTAATGCCAAGTCAAATTTCTGAATGATAAGAGTTCTTCATAGCAATTTAAGGTGGAGTGAACCTATGATAAGTGAAGAAGAAACCACCCGATTGCAAAATGCTCAGAGCTTACATAAAAATCCGAAAACCACAAGGCCACAAACCAAAGTAAGAAGCAGTTTGCAGTGAAAATGGCCTATTAGTCTTTTAGAAGTGTTGTTATTTCAAACAAAGCTATCGCGGCTGATATGGAGGCATGTTAGCCGAGTGTGGTGGCCCGCTTTGGTTATACCCTTGGGGACCGCTTGCAGACGGCATGTATGGAGAATTATGCATCTGCATGCCCATAGGTGGAGGTCCTCCGACATTGCCCGAGTTCCACGAGCCTGAAGGCTGAGGTGCTGCATGACCATCGAGGGCTGGAGCGTGACCATACTGATTCCCGTTGTATGGATGACCGCCAGGACCTCCCACCGAAGGAGGCGGTTGTTGCCCCAAATTTGATGGTTGAGCATTCAACATGGGGGCATTTGGAATTGTGTAATCTCTGCTTCGGTCATTGTTCACCTGAAATCAAATATTTAATCATTCATATGAAAATCCGTAAGGGATTAAGCTCAATTACAACTCACTCAAATCATTAATCGAGTCAAAAGTTACCTTTATACTGAGATCAGTGTGTCGAGAGTAAGTAATATGAAGTTTGCAATAACCTCCTTCATAAATGCTGTGTCCTTCCAGGGCTTCCTTTGCAACAACAGCTGTCTGAACATCTGCAAACCCATGTTTTTATGTTTATCTCGACTTTTAAGTTATTCAAAACCAAACTCCCCGCAAAAATATTGAAAAGAGGAACAAGACCAAAAACATTAATACTAAAAATCTGACTAATCTTACCAGGATATTGGATTAAAGCCTGTAGACCCCCATTCTTATCAAACATGGCAATCTTTAGGACAGGCCCAAAAGCTGCAAAAACCTGAACACCACTCATGAAGAAAAGAAGAGAGCATTAAATATCTAGGAAGTTCGTTTTTTGGAGAATTTCTAAAAGCTTGATGCATAATGTAGTGTTTACCGTATGCAAGACATCTAAGGTTACTGCATATTGCATGTTCTCGATAGAAGCAAGAAGAACATTACTCTCAGGCTCTAATTTCTTTCCATCTAATCCCACGCTGAACTGTAATAACAGTGATGAAGTAATGAGATCAAAATTACAAAGCTAGGGTAACAACTCTCAAACAAGGAAAGTGATCAATGGCCTATCAAATATAACCATCGGAAAAGATCTGGTGATTCACATCAGTGAATAATTTCAGAAAATTCAGTAACACCCCACGAAACTTACAAGGCATCAGGGTTTATACAAAATGACAAATATCTACATCTCACATTCTCATAATGCATCATCCACACAAAATGATGAAAAAAATTAGCCAAATTATTCATACTACACAACTATCTCTATCTCACCACTTCATGTATCATAGAACATTTACCTGAGAGTTTGCATCTATAGCCGAGGGAGCAACAGGAAGGAGAGGATTGGTGTAGTCCCTGAAGAAAAATAATTATGATCAAGATGAAGGCTATAGCAAAAGAAAAAATAGCTAAATTAAAATAAAATAACAAAAACAAAAACAGCAAAGGGTTAATGTAGCACTTGCTTCACAACCACATGCAACAAAAATGAGAAAGCATAAACAAGTCTACCTGCTGCGATGGCTCTGAAACTTCACAGTCAAATCAGTGTGTGCAGAATATGTAATTCTAAGTGAACATGGTCCAAGTTCTGGAATTAAATAGCTGATACAAAGCAAAAGTGATAAAGTCAGTCCAATTCAGGCACATCAAACGTTTGAAATCACCAATTCTAAAAATTTATCCCGGATGTTCACAAGGCCAAACATTAATATGCAAATGCAACACGTACTATACCTCATTGATTTAAATAATAATAATAATAACAACAACAACAACAAAGGAGATGTATCATTTAACTAAAATACATTAAATCAGCCAGCTATCAACCACTTTGAGCTGCATTTGTGGAGCATGTCTAAGCAAGGACCTCTTCCGACCCACATAGATTAACACTAATCAGCTCCTCATAAATAAAAAGCTGCAAGTCCCTACTTATACTGATGCATTAGCCCTTAAAGTCAACTGTCCTAAGCTAAGTTCAAATTGCAGCAAATGGCTGTTGACCAGCACACCAAAATTGAAAAGAATATGAGATTGGGGAGATGTGAAATGAACATAAATGAGAGATGAATGGGGTGAGGAGCATGCATATACCCCTTAAGCTGATTCTTAAAAAGGCTCTTGAAAGATGTCCAGCCCCAATGAAATTGCAGCACATCTACAGATAATGTTCCATAACAGTTGGGCTACATCCCAAGCCGAAATATAAATCCAACATCACCTTGGAATGCTTCTTCCATCAAGAGCATCCTTTGCAGAAGTAGCAGTTACAGCATCAGAAAATTGCACCAGAGCCTAATGAGAAAAGGTCCCAGTGATTATTAACAATTGAAATATACAAGCAGGGAAAGATAAATCAACAACTAACAGAACAATTCTCCTAAAATATGCACACCTGAAATCCAGCTGTCTTTTCAAAGGTAGTAATTTTATGAACAAACCCAAAAGCTGAAAACACCTGAAGAAAATAAAATATCAATTAAACAGATCTTAAGATCTGCAAGAAATAAGAATGTAGCTAACATACAAACAAATGTTTAATGCTACTGAATACTAGTTACACACTTGGTGGCTTAGTTATGCTACTAGTACTAGGGAGGGAATTCCAACACCCACACACATTACACATGTTAAAACGAAGTTGAGTTTCCACACTCCAGGAAAGTCAGGAATTAGGATAGTTAGAAGAGGATAAGTATGGAAGGAAGAGCCAGTGGTAAGCAAAAGAGAAAGGAGACAAACACACGTGTTTTCTTTCTCTCGATGCAATAAGCTGCCATTGAAGTTTTCCCTTGACATGGGGCCTGCTGATCCATTTGCATTTATGTCAAATGATGCCAAAGAGAACTTGACGTACTACAGTCTAAGCACCAAACTATGGATAGGTTTATTCTACTGAAAGCATTTTACTTCAGACCATGAACACACAAGGAAAATGCATAATTAATTACCAAGTGCAAAACATCAATGCTAACAAGGCGTGCATCATTTCCCTCAATTGTCACCAACAGTACATTTCCAGCAACATCTGCAGTAGTTTTATTGTTGACTATTTCTTGCCTATTGGAATATTGTAGGTAGACAGTTTTTCCTCGTACTTGAGCAGGCTCTGATGAAGAAGCATAATAAGATATCATGGCAATAGCTTGGTTCAGTTCTGCCTACAAACATCAAGATACACAAAACAAGAATATCAATATAATATAAAGAATAAAGTTCTACTGTGTACAGATGGAGCAGGAGAAGAAAAAGAAAAAAGTGAACTCACAAATTCTATAAATGCTTGGTTTCTATTTGCCCCAACATTACACTTTGTGTTGACAACTTTACCAAATGGCTTCCCCAATTCAATTAGTTCCTCCTCTGAACACTCCCAAGGTAAATTTCTTAAATGGAGAACCTTGGATGGGGGCTGTGTGTATCGGAACTGAGGCTGGCTAGACACAGATGACATTCTGTACCACAGACCCAACCTAAATAGAAAAACAGCAAAAGTCAGAAATATATTCATCTCATTTGAATAAACACTCAGTAATCCCAGTTTGAACATTAAAATGCCAGAACAATACAACATAGTATAAATATCTTTCTCTTGATGCCCCAAAACAGGCTTGCAAAATCGAATAAATATGATCAAAATCACCCTTGAGGACTATCAAGGTTGTTAACAATCAAGGCAACGAGATCTATATCCACATCCATCCATATCCTATAACATTACTTATAACGAGAAGTCTCCAAATTATTGCAAAAAGTTCATTGGTTCATTGCCATACACAAGACTTATCTGAAAACATTCAAAAATCAAATAAAACTAAAACTAAACCACGAGGGAGAAGAAGTCCAAGCCGCTTTCCAGGAAAACAGAGGTAAATCTATGCAATTACAATCGCTAGTAACACAAACTGATTCCATCATCACGATTATCAATCGAAGTAAAATAAAAAAGAAGAAATTACGTTAGTGGCAAAGAGAATGTGGAAGTTCTGATAAAGTAGGGTTGCAGAGAGGGAACCGCCGGGACAGATTTTCCTCAGCTCGAATCGCCGCGAGAAGATGAGAATTTTGGGTGGGGAAGTGCGTAAGGAAGCACCCTACGTAGGTTAGCAAGTTGAGAATTGAGATAGATCTCGCGTGGCTGACTGGGTGGCGTATCTTAGCATCCGCCACGGCCTAAAGACACTTATTTTCTTTTTTACTTTTCTTTTCCCTTTTCCATACAACGGAGGAAAAATTGTACTTCAAATTGGTCGAGTAATTGTTTAATAATGGAATAAGGATTAAATAGGTCATTCAATTATAGAGTTAATTCCAGCAATGGTCCTCCGACTATGTTGATTTTCTATAATTGGTCCTCGACTTTTAATTTGGACAATTTAGACCCTTGACTATCAAATTCTTTCCAATGTTAGTCCTTCCGTTAGATGAAGGTTAAGTGGACATCAATTTGAGGGGTAAAAACGTCCTTTCGCGTATTGAGTGTATATTCCCTCTTTAATTAGTTCAAAAAATTATAAATTGTGGGTCTTCTGGTTGCTGCCTTCACCGGAGGTCGCCGCCGGAAGAAATCTCAGTTTGTCACCGCCAACGGATAAAAACATGAAACCACGAGCACATATCATGAGCCCCGGTGGGGTGGGTTAGGTTTCAAATATCGTGAAATGATCCGAAGGTTACGTTCCTAATTCACAAGTGTAGAACTACCGCCGACTTTGTCATGCATGATGTTGCATCAAGCTAATGAGCCACATTATTCCTTGAGATATGCCTCCAGTTTATTTCGCCATCAGATACGTTATTACAAACTAACTGTCAGGAAGTCAAGAACCTGTCCAAATATTTTGAACATTTCCGATCCACTCCAAATATCATGGTTTTATCCGAGACAAATGCAGCGTACTAATCCATGGGGGCGTCGTGATTAGTGGAAACTTCAATTCAAGTGTGATACCTAAGATCAAGCTCCCATAACTTCCTTACCGCTTTGTTTCTCCTGCCTGTTTGATCATCATCCCCCTCGCACCAGGAGACTGAAAGCATTAACAGCCGGTCGTTGCAGGAAATAAGTCGAGGGTTGTACTCATGAACCCAGGGAGGAGGGGTAATGTGGATTCCAATCCAGTAACCCCCTTTCTATGTCAAATGCAGCAAGCTTATCTGTTTCCGAGTAAACATAAAACATCCTGTTGCAAAAGACGTACACCTGAACAAGCAATACCAAACTCAACAGGCAACATCTGGATTTCTGTCCATTTATTTGATACATAATCATAAATTTCCCCTGAATCTAAAGGCTCATCCCAACATGCATCCAAGACTGTCTATGGCAATCAATATAAACCGTCTGTTATCTTTATTGGAGTGGCCGCTTTTTTGTATGATGAACTTGTATGACTTCATACTGGCAAGAAAGAGAATTCATTTTCATCAAGGGAGTGTCTGAATGCAAGTCTGACCGAAAGCCTGTGAGGATCTTCATAAACATCGGATGAACTACCAATTCCTCTGTCTTTCTAAACGAATTTGTTGGTTCTTGATAATTAGATAATCAGAGATGACCTCATAAATTCCAAGTATAGGTGATGATCTTGCATATTTCATGGATGCTGCTTTATATGCAATGATTTTGTTAAAGGGCTAAACACCAGCACACTTTTGTGTGTCTTATAAAGCTCTTGCCAACCTTGCCAAAGTTAGAAAGACTAGTGCAACCTCCGACGATGTATACATCATCTCGGACACCGGCAATAGAGAACATAAACCTCCCTCTGAGTATTTCTGTGTCTAATTTGTGCCATTGATTCAAGGAGACATCCAGTAGACAATAACCATTCTTGACATCACCAAATAGAAACAAACAAGGACTTTGAAATGAGCCTTCTCGTTGACAGATTATTGGCAATCTACGGTTCAACAAAGTAGGTTCTCGTAACCACAAGATTCAAAACGATCTCCGGCGACGTTCTTAGCCAAACGTTCTTCAGTCCTTGTCCTCAGCCAAGTCATTTTTCAGTCCTTGTCCCAATGATGTATCCGTCGACGTTCTTAGCCAAATTCTGGTCCAACGAGAACTTTCCGCATCCGAACGGGTGGAACCATAGTTGCCGTCGAGATATTCCTGCGCTTTGGTCGAAGAACGAAGCCTAAACAGAAGGGATTTAGGAATTTTGCTATTTTGATGGAATTATACCCTAAGCAATTGAAATGTCTACTTTGCCCCTTAATTTAACGTTCATTTAACTTTCATTTGACGGAAGGACCAACATTGGAAAGAATTCGAAAGTTAAGTGTCTAAATTGTCCAAATTCAAAGTCAAGGACTAATTGTGGAAAATCAATATAGTCGGAGGACCATTGTTGGAATTAACTCTTCAATTATATATCAAAATATAATTAGATCATTAAATTTAAAAAATTTTAATTATAATAAAGTCATATGGTCTTAAGAAAATTAAATATTGATATTAATGGTTATATATATATATATATATATATATATATATATATATATATATATATATGTATGTATATATATATATATATATATACTTATTACTTTATATTATTATTATTATTATTAATTAGTAATTTACCCGCGCGATGCACGGGAAAAAATTATGTTATTATAAATATAAATAAAAAATAGAAAAACTAAAATATTTTAAATTATTTAATATAATAATATTTTTGAGCTTCCATTGGTCAAGTATTTATTATTTTTATAGAATACAAAATTACAATTAAAATTAAAATTAAAATTTTGTATGGTTAATATAATCTCTAATTATGTGCATATTCAAATAAACTTATAGAGAGAATTTACATAATTACATTGATTTATTCTTAATTGTATTTCATCTATATTATAATTTTCATAATACGAATAATAACTAAGATAATTACATTTGGAAAGCAAATTTCAAATTTTGTATGTGTAAATTTAAACTCTAATTGTACATATTTTTTATATGATTATATAATATATAGCTATTTTATTTTTCAAAAAAATATTTTTTATATGATTATATATAATATATAGCTATTTTATTTTTTAAATGTAGTGCTTTTTTTTTTATTATTTTTTTTTATAATAAAGGATGTTGTGGCATTAATTGTAACATTAATTATTTCTCAAACCATATAACTTTATTATATAATAAAGGATAAAGGATTATTATTATTATTATTATTATTATTATTATTATTATTATTATTTTTCTTTTATTATTATTATTAGTGTTAGTATTATTGTTATTATTGTAATATATATATATATATATATATATATATATATATATATATATATATATATATATATATATATATATGAATTGCAACTATGTTGATATTAGGTTATGTATTTTTTAAGAAATAATATTATTATAATATTGTCCAATATTCATTCTTTGCATCGCATGGGTAGCATACTAGACATACTCAAGATCAAATATGTATACCGCTAGTTGCGATTAATAATAGTAACTTTTTGTATCATACTATTTTCAATTATTAAATTAAATATTGTAAATACAATATCATAATTATTTTGTCATATACTTAATAAAAATGTAATTTTAAACAATTAAATTGTGGTTCATGTTTTCTTCTTCTGTACTTCAAATACCATTATTACAAATATTTTTACCTATTTTAACATTACAAACAAATCTTTAATATTTAATCCGTGCATCGCACGAGACAATACTACTATGTAATTAAATCTCTAAACTAATCAATTTTATGTGATTAATCTAATTTACAAAATTTTCAAATTTCTAACATGTCACCCAAAATTTAAAAAATTAAATAATTATTTAAAAAAAATTAAAAAGGCCTCCGTGGCTTCGGTCATCCAGAGACGAAGAAGTCTCCATCGCCGGAGATGCGACAACATTTTTTTAAAACAAATTTTAAATAATTAATTTTAAATAATTATTTTAAAAAATAGGGTGACATGTTCGAAATCTGAAAAAACTTGTAAAAATTATACTAATTATATGAAATTAATTAGTTTAGGGGCCTAATAGCATGTTTTTGAGTTTAGTGACTTAATTACGCAAATTATGTTGTGGACACGAGTCCAAAACGACAACATTCCAGTTAAAAAAAAAAAAGAAGTTGATTTTGTCTCGCTGTTAACGGCGTTATTCGTTTGTGGAATTATGAATGTACAGTTATGGAATTATGAACTTACAATTATGAACATAGAGCTCTAAAATTATGAACATAGAGCTCTAAAATTGTGAACATAGAGCTCTAAAATTGTGAACATAGAGCTTCGAAAATTATGAATGTACAGTTATGGAATTATGAATGCATAGTTATGGAAGTATGAACATAGAGCTCTGACATTATGAACTTACAATTATGAACATAGAGCTCTAAATTTGTGAACATAGAGCTTCGAAAATTATAAATTTATAGTTATTGAGTTATGAATGTACAATTACGGAATTATGAATGTACATTTATGGAAGTATGAATGTACAGTTATGGAATTATGAACACAGAACTCTGACATTATGAACTTACAATTATGAACATATAGTAATAAAATTATGAACATATGTTCATATAACGAAGCGGTCTGAAATTTAAAAAAAAAAATTGTTGAAGATAACAGTGCCACTAACGGCACTGTTACCGTGTCCATAATATATGTTGGACACAGGTCCATAGCATAACGATTGCAGTTTAGTGTGTAGTTCGGTGGCCTATTATTCCTTTAATAATCATAAAACTTTAAATTTAACAAGTTTATTGGTCATCTAATGCCTTTATGGTACACTTCTTTCATTTTAATTTGCATAGTTATAAATGAAATAAATATTTGTTAGTTATTAATATAATAATAAATTATAAGTACGCAAATAAACTGAAATACTTTCGAAAAGTATTGTATACTAAAATTTATGATTAATATAAGTGATGGGGAATACCCTCAGCTCGTATACCCCTTGTGTGCTCAGGATTCACGTCTAGGATTGAGGGGACCACTTCCCGAACACATCTGATCTGGTCATATCTACCTCGACCCCAACGAAGGTCGAAAAATACTCGTGGGGAGTTTAATAGCCACACCTCATACTCGGGTTTCATAAATCAATCTTACATGGTCAAAATGATTGTCCATACATCTCAAACAATGTTACTATCGTTCTTGTTGGTATGACCTTTGGCTATCATAAAATTAATCGTTTCAAATTCTCAGTTTATTCGACCAATCACTTTAAAGTCTTATTCTAGCGCGCGGTAGTGTGGAGTGCGAATTTAGGGGGTTGAAAACATTGATTGATAAACGATATATAGACTCTTTTGTACACAAAATATCTAGACAAGGGTATAAACTTGAGGAATGGGGACTGACAAACAACTCACAATTTACCTCATTTGCCGCTCTTGGGCAAGGCAATAGAGGCTTAGAATTTATATACCATTTGGATATCAATGCATATATGTATATAGTAGTTTTACATGTGCATTGCACGACTGGTTTAATGTCCAATGTTTGTATTTAAATAAGTAATTCAAAATATATCAATTGCACTATTATATAGGAGATGTTCATTATAGTTGACATTAAAATTAATGTTTAATTTGCAATTTTCTAAAAACAATTATCTAAATACTTATTGTAGTTGGTATGGTAGTAGGTACTATATACTAATGTTCGTTGAAATTACTCTAACTTTTGTTAATTCGCTTTTGGATATGTTTTTCATTGTCTTTGTCTTCATTGTTTGTCAGTTTTTGTTTGTTTGTTTTTTTTGTTTTTGTTTTTTTTTTTTGTTTTTGTTTTTTTGGTAGTATCTCATGTGTAGTTGGTTACTGGTGCTAGTTTGCAAAAATAACTTATTTGGTCTAATAAGTTTTGTTATGTTAAAGAAATAGATGCATGAAATTTCCAAGTTGATTTCATTATAATAATGTTTATAAAATTGATCACGTCATTTTTTAGTCATTGATCATCATATATGGATTGCTCAAATTAATCCACACACACACATAAACTTGTTAAAAGTGACGCGAGCGACGGCATATCGCCTTGCTTGGGCAAGGAGCAACATCCAACATCTTGAGAAAACACGCGTTTGAGCACGCTTTTTCGGCGAGGCAACGAACGATCAAAAAGCGAGTTTTTTTCAAGCGGAGCGCAAGTCAACAGAAAAAAAAAAAAAAAAGAACAAAACAAAAAACAAACGATTCGCAAAATCTTTCCATCTCACCTCATTTCAACTTCTCGAAACCCTATACTATGTGCATCTACTCACTGCCTCACTCTTATCGAGAGTCATCGATGCCCTCACGAAACCTTTTTACCTCACCTCATTTCAACTTTCCAAACCCTCTGTTCTGCGCCTCTGCTCACTGTCTCACCCTCACCCGCAAGTCATCACTGCTGCTGACCTTGGGATCCCACTAACTTATTGTCAATGAATAAATCATCAAATGACGAAATACATTGATTTATGAAAAGTAAATGATGTAATAGATGGTAAATTAATAAAAAGAAACTAAATAGATTATTATATATAAGACGATATAAGTAGATGAACTTTGTTTCTGTCCCCTATCATTCTCTTGTTCTTGCTTTGGAGCTTGACACCCTTTAATATCACAAATTATGCAGTGGATGCATTGTGGACACGAGTCCAAAACGACGTCGTTTTCAGGGAAAACGGGTCATTTCAGTTATAAAAATTTTTTTGATTTTGTCTCGCCGTGAACGTCGTTAACGGCGTTATTCGTTTGTGCCATTATGAATGTACAGTTATGAAATTATGAATGTACAATTATGAAATTATGAATGTAAGTTATAAAATTATGAACACAGAGCTCTGACATTATGAACTTACAATTATGAACATATAATGATAAAATTATGAACATAGAGCTCTAAAATTGTGAACATCGAGCTTTGAAAATTATGATTTTACAGTTATTGAATTATGAATGTACAGTTATGCAATTATGAATGTACAGTTATGAAATTATGAACACAGAGCTCTAACATTATGAACTTACAATATGAAGATATAATGATAAAATTATGAACATAGAGCTTCGAAAATTATGAAGTTACACTTATTGAGTTATGAATGTACAGTTACGGAATTACGAATGTACAATTATGGAAGTATGAATGTACAGTTATGAAATTATGAACATAGAGCTCTGACGTTATGAACTAACAATATTATGAACATATACTCCTATAACGAAATGGTCTGAAAGAAGAAAAAAGAAATAAAAAAATGATAACGGTGTCGTACCCGTGTCCAGTATGCAACACGGGTCCATAGCATAACGATTGCTGTAATATAAGTCTTTCGTTTCTCTTCAAAAAAAAAAAAAATAGATATAAGACGATGGAGGTAGAAATGTAGAATGCCCAACGATGGGGTAGAAAAGTTGATGGCATAGACATGGTACATGGAAGTCCAACAATAAAGCCCGCCTAACCTGGAAGTCCAACTAACATTTGCAAGACCTAGACTCTGTACATAATCTCACAGGACAACAACAGCCATAATCGAAAGCGCGCGAGCCGCGCACGCGTTAATTTCTGGCCGGAATGTTGACGAGATCGTCATTCTTAGGAGTCTGGAAGCACAACCGGTGGAAAACAAACTACTGCACGGTCTGTGCTGGACCGTCAAAATCCGGGATCATTCTGACCAACAGTATTATCACGAAGCGAGCCAAAAGCGGCCAACTCGAAGAAGCACGGCAGCTGTTCGACGGAATGCGTGAGCGGTCCGTCGTCTCCTGGAACGCCATGATTTCTGGCTACTCCGAATGGGGAAAGTACAGCGAAGTTTTTAGCTTGGTGTGGTCAATGCACCGCAGCAACACGAAGCTTAACGAGTCCACTTTCTCTTCAGTTCTCAGCGTTTGCGCCCATTCCGGGTCGTCCAGCGAGGGAAAGCAAGTTCACGGCCTGGTTTTGAAGTCCGGGTGCGAAAGTTTTAAGCTTGTTGGGAGCGCTTTGCTGTATTTCTACTCGAGTTCTTGCGAAATTGAAGAGGCAAGGAGGGTGTTCGACGATTTGCATGAGAGGAATGAGCTGCTTTGGAGCTTGATGCTCGTTGGTTATGTACAGTGTAATCTTCTGAATGATGCTTCCAGAATTTTCAACAAGATGCCAAGCCATGATGTTATTGCTTGGACTACATTGATTTCAGGATACTCTAAAACCGAAAAGGGTGCTCAAAAGGCTTTGGAGTTATTCACATTGATGAGAAAGAATGGAGATATCACACCAAATGAATTCACTTTGGATTGTGTCATAAGAGCTTGTAGTCGACAGGGCATTTTGCCAGTGGGAAAGGCTCTTCATGGGCTGGTAGTCAGAGGTGGTTTCGAACTGGACAGTTCGATTTGTGGAGCACTTATTGATTTTTACTGCAATTGTTTGGTCATGGATGATGCTAAAATTGTGTACAGCCAGCTGGTAAATCCTTGCTTGAATGATTCGAACGTGTTGATTGCAGGTCTTGTCATGGCTGGCAAGATCGAAGAAGCTGAATTGATCTTTAATGGGTTGATTAATAGAAATGCAGTGTCCTACAATCTGATGATAAAAGGGTATGCTTTGTGTGGTCGAGTTGAGGAGTCAAAGCGGGTGTTCTCTGAAATGCCAGAAAGAACTTTAACTTCCACAAATACTATGATATCAGTGTATTCCAGGAATCGTGAGACTGAAAAGGCTCTGGAGCTTTTTGAAGAAACTAAAGGAAAACGAAATTCAGTTACTTGGAATTCAATGATTTCAGGTTACATTCACAATGATCAACATGAAAATGCAGTAAAACTGTATCTGGAAATGCGTCGGGTACCAATAAGCCAGACCAGATCAACATTTTCTGCGCTGTTTCATGCATGTTCCTGTCTCGGGTCTCTACAGCAAGGGCAACTTATTCACGCCCATCTGATTAAAACTCCGTTTGAAACCAATGTTTATGTTGGGACAGCCCTTGTGGATATGTATTCCAAATGTGGAACCATAGCCGATGCTCAAGCATCATTTGCTGGCATTTCTTGTCCTAACGTAGCAGCTTGGACAGCTCTGATCAATGCATATGCACACCACGGGCTTGGCTTTAAGGCAATCTCGCTCTTTGAGCATATGTTGGAGCGAGGGGTACATCCAAACGCAGCAACCTTGGTAGGGGTACTCTCTGCCTGTACACATTCAGGTATGGTGAGCGAGGGCACGAGGATTTTCCATGAAATGGAAGCACGTTTTGGTATAACCCCCGCTCTGGAACACTTTACATGCATAGTCGATCTCCTCGGTAGAACAGGCCATCTCCACGAAGCTGAGGAGCTAGTGAATGGAATGCCTGTTGAGCCCGACAAGGTAATACTCGTAGCTCTTCTCAACGCTTGCTGGTTCTGGGCAGACATGGAAGTTGGCACGAGGGTTGCAGAGAAAATGTTGTCTTTCGACCCCCACCCCGTGTCTGGCTGCGTTATCATGTCGAACATGTATGCTGGATCGGGAAGGTGGAGGGAGAAGATGCAGGCGAGGAAGGTGTTGAAAGGATTGGAAGCAAAGAAGCCTCCTGGTTGTAGCTGGATAGAGGTAAATACCAGAACCCGTGTCTTTGTTATAGATAATAGAATATATCCATGTTGTCACCCAGTTCATTCAACTTTGAAACATCTAACAGCTAATGTAAACTCCAGTAATTTCTTTGATTTCAATTCTTCACAATTAACCAGACATGAATTATATGTTACTTAGGAATGCCATTGTCTTGTACAGTTTTCCAGTTTAAATCTCTGCCATGAACTATATACATACATTGCATTTTGTACCAGCTTAGACTTTTAGTTGGGACAAAACATGTCTTTCAATTTACATTAGCGAATTTTCGGTTCTTGATTCTGATGGCTCTGGCTCTTCAGCCACCGTGTGATCCTTGTTCCTGTACTTGCAGTAGAGCAGAAGCTGCAGCATGCCAAGTGGGCACCCGACAAGGTTCGGAGACTACAGACACGACAGTAGTTATCCGACGACCAAGATTATTAACGTTGTACAAATGGAAAATCTAATTTAAATTAAATTAAATCAATTGAAGAAAATTTGTTTTATTTAATTTAATTACAAACCGCAAGAACAAGATCGTGGCTCAGCAGCCCATATGCCATCCAAAGTGAGCTGGTCAAGAACGAAAAGAAAGACAAGTAGAATGGCACATATTCCACGCTCTTTGTCCTTATCACTCGCTTCTGCATGCCACGTGCACAATAATGTTAGTACGTGTTTCTGCATGCCACGTGTACAGTAGTGGTTAGTGTTTGTTACTTTTATTAATTAGGATTTAGGAACCCTACTCAAATGTACTAGCTAGTAAGTGATACTCGAACCCTAGTCAATTTAAACTTGATGATTATTAAACCAGTTGTTTGACTAATTTGACTAAAATTATCGTCTAGTATTTATATATAACTATTAACTCGGTCGTAAATATGTACATACTTTATTGATCAATACTTTAGACTACTTTTGATTTTGGATATTATTAGTAAGCCTAATGTCATAATCGCAACATATTTTTACACTATTACATGTCCCGTTAAAAAAATATCTAATAAATGAAATTTACATTTTTTCTTCACCAATTCTAAGCCTTCTTAGTCTCAAGTGATATGTCATATAAATTTCAGCCATTGAATAAATGAGGTTTACATGACAAAACCACTTCAGACTAAGAAGGCTTAGAAGGTGAAAATTAAAAGATACTTGAAAAGAATCATTATTATATATACAAAGGTAGCAGCTAAACGACGACGTACCACCGCCACAAGAGGAGAAGAGTACATTGACACGGAGGCCACGAGTCCAATGCTGCCGACGAACAGTTTCCGGTGACGATGATCATGGAAGCTGAAAGTGGATATCGCCATGGTCGCCAAAACCATCCCGACCACCGGAAACATCATCAGCGCCACCATCTTCTGAAAATTCAATTCACATATATAATATATATATATATATATATATATATATATATATATATATATATATATATACATTAATCCATAATATATCATTCTCAACGATCATAACCATGCAGCTTAGCTTGCTTAATTACCTTTCTGGCGTTTGATGCGAACCAACAGTAAATGAGAATGAAGGAGAGCTCAAAAGCAATCCCCACTCCATTAATGGTGACCACCGGAATATTTTCCCACCGGCGACTCACCACCGGGAGGCCATACCACGTGTAAAGACAACAGTTGAACAGTGCGAGTATGTAGGGAATGCATGAGAACTCTTCCGTACTCTTCTTCTTCATCACCCTCGCAAAAGTTAACCTGCCCAATTGCACATCACAGAAATAAACAATCAATTGGAGTATTATTTAAAATAAAATAATTTTGCAAAAATTCAACTATATGTCTATATATATGTAATAAATAAATTTCCATCTTCTTTAATAATTAATTTATTTACATTGGTGCAGAATAGAGCATCAAGCTGCCGGCATTACCTGCAAAAAAGATATATGCATGCAAGCTAAGTTAATTATTTTTTTAAAAAATATATCTAAATAAATTATATATATAGTCATGCATATTAGAGACATATATGCATATATATATTTACTTACCCATTACTCCCACTGCCAAACGCAGTCTATCTTCCATGGTGTTGAAGCGGCTTAGCTTGGAGAGAGTTAATTTCTTGAAATGATGAGCCCCAGCTGAGGGATATCATATATATAAATGATTTATAATCAGTGAGGTGAGAATAGGGTGTTAGGTAAGAACATGTGGTTTATTTTTTGCCATTGATTTTTGGAGATCTGATGGTTGTTCTTTTTTTGTGTATTATATTCATTATTGTTTTTCTGTTTTTAAATGTGGGGGACATTTTGGTTATTTAGTTCTTTATTTCTTTATTACTCGTGCTTTAATTTAATAAAAGTCAATGTAGTGTTTGACTTTAATTTGTTTGTAAAGGTCAAGGCTGATCAAGTATGAAACATGATTCTTGTATATGAATGTCATAATTTTTATTCTTATCAATATACCCTTTTAGTTAATTAAGCATGACACACAAGGTGTTTCTAGTGCAATTTACCTCTCCTGTGCGGACGATTGTTATTACATAGTCTTCTTAGTGGTTACATACGTATCTTGTGTAGACTAGTACACAAAAGCAGAGTTTACTCCGTTCATATTTTTCAATAGTGAATGCAATTCAAGTTTCCCTTGCCTCGGTGCAATTGTAAAGTTGGAGACCACGCATGCTTTTTATGAGTAAAAGTAAACTTTAATTTGTGAGTGCGATTTATGTTAAATATGATCGAATTAATCTTAGATACCGGATGTAATATATATTTTGGTAGTAGTAAATTCATTTTTCTTAAAATAATATAAAAGTTGTTCGTGCATGTTACTATTTATATGAAACATTGAAACTAAATGAAAAAATATATATTATTACTATTTATCTTTAAAAAACATTTATAAATAATTATATATATATATATATATATATATATATATATATTTATTTATTTATTTATTTATTTATTTATTTATTTATTTATTTATTTATATGTATGTATGTATGTATATGTATATATTAATTCCTTGACTACAAGTGAAACATCACATTTTTTTATAATGATTAATCATTGAATTATGTGTTGATAAGCAACCTGCTAAAGCAATTGTAAGTAACATAAGAGATTTAGATTAATTGATGAGAATACTAGATGCAGTACTGTAGTCTGTACAATCAAAAAACTAATTCAATAAATGAAATAAAATATAAAAATAAATAAATAAATAAATAAGCAAGAGGGGACGTATACGTCTACTATATGTCTATATGTGCAAATCATAAGTTGGTAGACGAAGTTAATGCTAATGATAATAGATTGTACCAAAAAAAAAATGATAATTGAATAGAATAGGGACAAAAAAAAAAAACAAAAAGTACTCGAAAATGTGGGCACTATCCTAAACTTAAAATGCTAGAAAAATTAAAGTAGCTTAATCATATGTATTTTGAGTTTGTGTTGTTAATATTGTGTGCTTTTGCGTTTAGAAATCTTTGACTTAGAAAAATACGTGAGCTTTGAAAATTTATGAAATCTATAGATAATAAATGTTAAAATTAAAGAATTAAAATACTAGCTGATTTCTCTTTAGTTTGTATTAGTACTTACCATATGAATAATGTACGTATTGATGTGTGGTTAAAACTTTCTGCCAACAAGGAGCTCTTTATAGGGAAGAGAGGAATTTGAAAGCTATAATCAATGGCACATTATACAGATTAATAATATGATTATAACATTTGAAACGATCATACTTATTATCAAAATAATATCAATGATCATAAAATTAATTTGTATCGACTATAATGACATATTTCAAAACACTTGAGTAACCGAGAAGTCCGTATAAATCAAAAAATTTTCAAATTGAAATCGAAAATCACACCCGTATAATACAAATAATATCAAAACGGTGTAGCACAAGTCGGTGCGACAAGTACCAAATCAATATAGCGTGCTTATAGCATCAATTCGTGCTACAAGCAACGAGTGGTGCTTCTCCACAAGAAATGCACGATTTGTGCTAAAACACGAGTTGTGCTTTTGCTTCAATAATTAAGCTTTCATTTTTCTTCACAACACCGAATTATGCATAATCCAAAATTTCCAATTCCAAAGCTTAAACGTTAAAGAGCTTTAGTTAACAAATTAAGCTCAACATCAACATACCTTATTGGCAGGAGTACTACAAATAGCATGAATTGTAATAAAATGATTATCATATGACTTTAAAGCTTAAAAATTTTAATTTCTCTCAAATAGGTTCATTTTGAGAATCAATTTCTCATTCACCTATTACTTATTTTGAGCGTACAATATTTAAAATTCTTCGTCTCACTACTAAGAGTGCAAATCCACTTTGACTCGACCCAAATTGGAAGTGGACCCCACATATATTTGTATAACAAAATAGTCTCTCAAAATGTCATTTTAGTTAAAAATTTCAACGTTGTGGACCTGTGTCCACATTGCAAGGGGTGAATCCGAATTATATTTCACAATTTTTGAACTTGATATTCACAATATTAGAACTGAATATTCAAAGCAAGGTAATGATATGTAATATATGGAGTATATAAATCTGGTTAAATGAAATTTTCAAGAGAAATAAATATGCCTTACTTTTATTTTTTTTTCATTTTAATTTTCAATGATAACATGGTGTAAAAAGGTAAACCTCAAACTAAGAAATTAAACGTCACTAAAAAAATTATGTGTAACGAGTTTGACAAAGAGTCACTCAACGTAAATTTGATTTCGTAGTATAAAGGAATGTTTATACATGTGAAATACCAAAAAATGAGGTCCACTCATTTAGAATATTTGATTGGTTATGCGATTTTATTTATTGGACATTTGTAAATAATAATTTCCATTGGATCATATTCCAATATAATAATTTGGAATAAGAAAGGAATTTAAAAGATATATCCTGAATTTGTTGAAAAGAACCTACCAAACTAAAGAATATTAAATGCATTATTGTCTTGTAAGTTGTAACGGGTTTTTTTTGATAATAGGCTAATAGCGAGTCAAATAAAATAATTTCATTTCGATATAATATTAGTATTTGTACTCGTGCAATGCACGTTCATAAATAATAATATAATTAAACAATATAACATAATAATAAAAAAATGAAGAAAATGTATATAAAGTAAATTATTTAATAACTATTAAAATTGAAATTGTATTACACATTATTAAAAAATAAATAAATTATTATGCAACATTTTTAGTCGTACTCACAGATCGTCCTTTATCCCAACAAATCAAAATTTTTAATCCCCTTGGATTACTTACTCTTCACGAAAGTTTATACAATAATGCTAAATACAGTATAAAAAATATATAAATATAATTCATATTATTTTTCAATTTCGACAAAACTTAACCAATAAATAGATGATGACGGATGATGAAAATCATATTTTGATATATACCCTATAATAATTAATTAGCTAAGAAAGCCCACACTGTTTAATATATATATATATATTATCCTATTTGGTTGTAATCGATTAAGCATATGATGATATAAGCGTATGATGCTATTCTCAATCTTAATAAGTAAACTAACATTTTCTTATTAATAAGATAACCATCTCAAATAAATACTACATTTTTACACTATTAATTATAGTTGAATGTGCATACCTTAATCGAGTATAATATAACTCATTTAAAACTAATTTGTTTCAAAAAAAAAATGTATAATGTGTACTCTTATTAGGAGAGATAAATCACACTTAAATAATTTTATGTGACAGACTCAATCAAAAGTGTGTTACCCACTCGAATCATCTTAATCTGTCTAGTTGTGATTACTACTGGAAAGCACACTAGTCCTATCTTATAGCATATTTGCACATGTTTTAAGCATAATTCATGTTCAAATCTACCTTTATATATTGTATGGGAATGTATGTGATGGTAAATATGTTATCGACTTACCAAAATATATCTTGTAAAGAAATAATTAAAGTTAATTTTATTTTTGGTCTTAGATTTATAGGTGACAGTCCACTTTATTTTAATTCTTTTTTATCAAAATATCTTTTTTCGATCTTAGTATTATTGTGACATAATCAATTTTAGTCCTCTATAAAAAATATAGTCGAAATTTCGTTAAATTGAAGGACACAACTTAAAAAAAAAAAAAAACATGTTTTCATTTATTAATTGTCATTTTGTTAGGGGAAAAGTGATTGCAGATGAGGCGTTTCAGGCGCCTCTAACCTCTTTACAAACCATTCATAGCATGCATCAAATTAAAGCACACAATCTTTATAATAATGTTCTTAAGAATTTATTAATGTTGTTGACTTGCTGTTTAGTTATGATTCAGAAAGAAGTTCAATCAAACATCACCCCAACTTATTACCCAATTGGGAGTTCGATGTGTAATTGCAACACTCATTGGTTTTGTGTCACATCAAAATTAAGTTGGCAATTATGTCATCCCTATATATACCAAGTATTATTAATTATTAATTATTAATTCCTTTTGGCTTATAGTAATAAAGGTGTGGATAAGATGATACGTGTCTCTTCCTTCTTAACCAAAGATATCGAGTTCAAATTCGTCACGAACATTATTAAATTAGTCTCGATGTTTCGCGTGGAGACTTAGTGTACCACGACTGAGAAAACCAAAATGTGGTTTGACAAAAAAAAAAAAAAAAAAAAACTTTTGACTTACATTAAGGTTTCGTCCACCTCTTACAACCAATTGAGAGATTATAATTTCAAATTTTATCCTATTGAATTACTTATAACTTATTATTGTAAGGAAAAAATTGGTGTTTTTAATCCCACAATTACGAGTATATAGTGGTCTCAGATCAGTCACCAAATATAATTATATGTGTCTTTAATTTTGGTCTCTCAATTATTAACTAGTGAATGACACTTTCCCCATTACATTGAATCGTGCCGGTTAATTCCAATCTTAAAACATGGTTAATTCCAATCTTAAAACATAATTTTCAAGGTTAATTTGATGAGTGTTTTACGATAGGTAAGTAATCTGATTAACTGAACTGTTACAACACAAGATCCCCATAGGAATAGCTAACCTATTAAGACTCCTAAACAATAGT